TATTTCCCTGTGCTATACAGTGTAATCTTGTTTACCTATTCTACAATTTTGAAATCCCAGTCTATCCCTTCCCACCCTCCACCCCCCTGGTAACCACAAGTCTGTATTCTCTGTCTGTGAGTCTATTTCTGTCCTGTATTTATGCTTTGTTTTTGTTTGTTTGTTTGTTTTTGTTTTTGTAGTTTATCTTCTCCTTCCTCACTTAGTCCCTCGGGTCCTTTCCCGTCTCACCATGGCTATTTTCTGACCTCTTCCAAAATTTGAGGATGGGGGCAGAAGAACTGATTAGAGAGCAGAAACATTCTGAACTGACTGATACTCCTATGATGATCTAATAATGGCCTTTTCTCCTCCATCCCTGAGGTTTTCTCAACTGCATTTCTCTGGACAGAGTAAAAGAATCTCTCTCCCACTTGGTCACTTACTCCTTTCTCACCCTTGCACACCCCTCAACCTCTTTTTTACCGTAGGTATTTTGTCCTCCAAAGAAGCCTTATCAAACAGGATCTAAGATGATCCCATGGCGGCTCTACAGTCTGGTCCATGGGAAACAGTCATACATTCTTTGCCCCAACATACTCTGCCTCCGCACGGTTGCTCCTCTTTATGTTCTGCTTCAAATAGGAAGTCAGCTCGCCTTTTGCCATATATATTTCCCGGGCAAAAGTCAGAAACCAGACTACTGCATCCCCAAACTGCAGGGCACATTTAAAATTCTCCTGATGTCAAAGAATGAAGCACCACCCCCACCATTCCTCCCTCTTACAGGGAAGTGGAGGGTAGGACTCATGAACAGATCAGCAACTCATTACAAGCAGAAATTATCTCTCCGATATTTACATCATCAGTGTTGGTAAATGGTTTTATAGGTTACATGTCTTGTTTCCTACCATCTTCTCTGAAATATGTGTATCCTGAACTGGAAACTTACTTGAAATCTGTTTCGATATCACAGTACTTTATTCGAAACATCCATAAGAAATGAAGAATTATAACACTTTTTGCAAACCTTGATATTTTCAGCATGGCATCTTTTAGTCTTTGCATGATAAGGAAATAAGATACAGTATTTGCAGTGGTTCTTCCTCTATTTATAACATGGTACAGTGAGTCATCTGTTTAAAAGGATACTGAATGTTTTAGTTTGTAATGTCCTTAGTTATTTTTCCTTAACCAGTGTTAATCATAGTTACATAGATATTATGAGACTATATTCTTTCGTATACATGACATATGCCATTGGCATTTAGCCTAAATCTGGATTAAAAGGGCAAAAATGTCTGAAGGAGAGATACTGGTCATTTAACTGGTAAGAGACATGTAAGATTCAAATGTTTTATCCAGTTTTGTTTGCATTTTTCCTGTTGTAATAAAGTTAACCATTTTGGCTTACTATAAAATGTAAGTGTATCTTAAGGACAGTTGTGTCAAATATTTTGAATAACATGATTACTGGGATATTAATGGATGTGTGTATATATATGTATACATATATATGTATATATACATATATATAAAGTGTAAATACATACATAAGATTCCTTCCTTAGAAATAGCACAGCAGAAGAGCCAAGAAGCTAAAAGGAAATAAACTAACAAATGACAACCTAAAATAATAAAAAAGTAGGAGCTAAGGGAAGAAGAATGGGTTACAGGTAATATGAGAAGATACTTTTTAACTCACAAAAGTTTATTAGTATCCACTATTTCCCTATAACAGAAACTAAAGTTAGTTTGCATATGGTTTGTTTACTTATTCTCCTTTTGTAGATAAACTGAAATTTTAAATAGTTGCATGAGTATAAATTAGAAATGGCTTAAAATTTTTTAAAATAACATTTTTCTGAGAATGAAAAACTGTACATTTTTATAGAACAGTGATTTTTTTTTTATTTCCAGTGCATTCTGTTCAGTCTCTTAAGCACAGACTAGATGAAGTTTCACTTTTTAAATACCAGGTTTTTGTTTTTGTTTTTGTTTTGTTTTTTTACAACAGCTGACAGTTTTCTGGAAATTTCTGCTTTCAAAAGAATTTCTTAGCAGTAAAAAAAAAATGTTTTTTAATTCAGATTCAGGGTCTGCATGGATCAGGCAAAAATGCCACAGTTTTAGAATTTACTACCTGCGTATAAAAGTGCTTTTATTCTGACTTTAATATAGAGGTTTAATATAGTTAAACACCGTCTGGTAGCATTAGGTCTGTGCTATCCCTACAGCGCTAAAGAGTCCTGCTTTGCCCAAGTCATGTTTATAGTGTGCTAAATGGTTTTGGGCGGGGTTTTTTTTTTTTTTTTTTTCAAGGCTGTCCAACCCTAATGCCTGCTGTGCTGTTTGAGAAATAAAAATCTTTAATAAAATTGAGAAAATTGAGTTGAGGACTTGTTTAAATGGCTGTTTCACCTTATGTTGAAAACTCAGACTTAACTTTTCAATGAGCACATTTCCTGAATTTCACCTTAGTCCTTGGGTGCATGTAACAGAACCCAGAGATGCAAATGGTACACTTGCTGGTTTATTTGAGGCATTTCCCTCAATTTATACTACATAGAATTATAATAATTCAACTTAATGAGTTTTGTATTGGCATTTGGATTAGTGTAACTAATAAATCCCAGTCCACTTACTTTCCAAAATCACTACTTAGCGGTCTTTCATTCACTGGCCTTATAGCATTTACAGATTCAGGGCCTTTTGAAATATAAGGAAAGGTAAAGGATTGTGATTCAAGTTCAACTATGAAATTTAGATCTACAGAATATTAATTTGGGAATAGTTTAATAATATCGTTCATTTTACAGGTAAGAAAATTGACGTGGTGCAGATAGAACCCACAGGTGATTGGTGTTAGGGTAACTGTGCGTGCGCATCATCTCAGCCGCCACTAATCCAGGGCTCTGCCAATAACAGTGAATCCAAGCATGAAGAGATAAGAGACAAATATGCTTCCCAATCTTCCATCATCTGAAATTTACTTAAAACAAGTGTAAACTAATAAGTTATACTGCCTTAGGCATGCTACTTTCATTCTTATTCATAAAAACACTTCACACATAGTAAATGCTTGATAAATATTTGTTGAAATGAATTAAATTTATTCAAGGATAAATATAGTGTAACACATCTTTCCAAGGCTTCACTGCATTAATATCAATTCATGAATTTCACTACTCAGTAGCAGTATTTGCCCTTTACCTAAAATCTCTGTTAATTCTGAGAGAACTCAAAGCATGTGGTCTCCCATGAGCTCAAGAAAATGTCATCTTGTCATCTTGTGTTGTTTTGCTCTGAATCAAAGGACCCTATTTCTGTCTCTGCTCTCTGCACGCATCATTTGAATACTGCCCTGCAGAGCGGTGATAGTGGCCACCTTGCCCTACCAAGTGCCAAAGATGCTCTATGATCAGGGATGGAGGTGGGGAGAAGGGATCTCTTTGCATTTCTGTGACTATTCTCTTCCTGAAACTTGAAGCAGCACTGGAAGGTCACACCAGATAGTAAGTGGAAGAGCTAAGATTTAAAGTTAGTCTGGCTGAGTCTCTGAGCTACTCCCCTTAACTGTGTGGAGTGTGGCAATGATGTTCCCTCCTCTACATCTTCCTCCACGTTCTGGGGATCATGCCCAAAACATGTCTTTCTTCCATCTTCAGCCAAAGAATATTTGCACATAAATTTCTTAAATGGGTTGTTTGTAGAGGAATAGATG